AGATCTGGGGCCAGCCACATTTGGGAGCACTGGATTGGGTGGCCTCAAATTCTTCTCTAGTTTTTGTTTTCTGATTATGAAGGGTTTTAGCTAGATCTCTAGCAGCAGAGATGGGCCACGTGGGGCGAAGGCCATCCCGCTGACTTTTGCCTTTCGAGCTGTCGGTGTGGTTGCTTTTGGTCCTGGCTGGACTTTTAGTTTTGGAGATAATTGGGTCTTTTACTATTGTGTGAAGGGGCAACCAGGGTGTCACAAGCACAGAATCATGTTACCAAATTAAGATATTTAAAATTAGCTTAAATATTCAAGCTACAGTGTGGCAGAGGAATTAGCAGTATGAGCCCAAGATAAAATAGCCTATTTTATGTAGAATCATAAAATTTCTTCCAGGAAAAGGAAGAATACCTATTTTTTTCAGTGTTAACATTTTTATGAAAGATTGCATCATGTAGCTTCTTGCAAGAGCGTACTCTTTCACTGGGTTACCTCAGGCTCCTTTAAGGACAGAGACTTCCCTTTGGGCTGATTGAGATGACTTGTGCCAAGTCCTGTGGCCAGCACTCATGGCTGAAAGCCACCCATCTTCACCATGCGCTTAGCCTTTGTCTCTCTTTGGGTTTCTACTTGTAGAAGAACCAAAGAACCAAAGTCATTCTTCTTTGCACTGGTAAACAGATCTGTGTTACTTTACAGATACATTTTTTCCCCTTGTGTTGACTTTAGGTCACTTAAAATCACTTGAGTTAGAGTGGCCCAGTCTCTTCTCTGGAGTGGCAGTTAGCACAGTTGAGTTATTAATTTTTTTTTTATTACAAAAGTTTATTTTTACATCATTTTGCACATTTTTTTTTCCATCCCGATTGTAATTCCCGCGGGTTTCCCATCACCAAATCGAGTTGTTAATTTTTTTTAAAAAACAACTTTATGATACTTAATTTATATAACATACTTATTTAAAATGTTTAATTCAATTATTTTTAGTGTATTCTAGAATTGTGCATCAATAAACACAATGAAATTGTAATCACAATCTAGATTTCCATCCCTGTTAATTTTTTTTTTTTTAAAGATTTATTTATTTGTGCATACAGAACTGGGGTACAGGCCAGAGGCTCAGGGGCGGCGAGAGGCTTCACCAGAGACAGAGTGGGGAACAGAACAGGCAGATCGACGAAGTACACTGCTGAGGGGAGCAGCGGGCGGGTCAGGAGAGGTCTGCCACACAATGTGGGCACCTCCGGGGCAGGCGGGAATCGAACTCATGCGGAAGTGGCTTTAGCTTCTCAGTGCTGTGCTTTAACCCGCTGCGCCACCAGGGAGGGCCATGTTAATTTTTTTTAATTGAGGTATGTTGACCTCAATTATAAGCATCAGTTTTTCTGACATCAAAACAGGTTTATTCAGGAACAAAAGAAGAGAGGAAGATTGGAATGTACATTCCAAGGGGTTAACAACCCCCTTTTATAACTGGCGGCCTCTCTAAGTTCTGCTGGGCAGGATTGAAATGTTGACACTTCCTGTGGGACATACAAAGCTTGTTGGGTCCTGCAGCTTGAAGGAGCTCTATAGCTTTCCCATCTCATTTACATAGAGTTTCTGAATATTACTGTTCACAGGTGAAAGTTATATAAAATTAATTATCTTAAAGTGTACAGTTCAGTGATGCTTAGTCTTGGGCAAATACTGTTTCCATTTTCAAAGCTTTTCATCACCCTATAACAACACCTTGTACCGATTAAGCAATCACTTCCTATTTCCACCACCCACCCAAATGTCCATCTGCAGATGAGTGGGTAAATGAGTGGTATATGCATTCAGTGGAATGTTATATAGCCACAAAAGGAATAAATTACTAATTATATTTCAACTTGGGTGAAACTTGAAATATGCTGAGTGACAAAAGCCATTCATGAATTGTATGATCCCATTTGTAGGAAATATCCAAATATGCAAATCACCATTAATATTTGCAGAGATTTTTTTTCAGACCTGACTGAGGACCCTAGGTCCTGGCTTTCTATACCTGTCCACTTGTCTTTGACAGGCAGTGTTGCTAATGGTGACCACAGGCTTTGAGTCAAACCTGATCTTTGAGTCAAACACTCTTTGATCTTCCCTTCTCAGCCCACTTCCCTGACTTGTAAAGCAGAGTGACGAATAATCTATCTCATTACCCACAAAAAGTACATTACATGGCATACTCTTATTTTCATTGTTTTTAGTGTTACTTGTTCTTGGCCCTTTCTCCTTCCTCTGCTGCAGGCCCTCAGATTGCATCAGCTTGCTGTCTTGTTGGGAGCATAGCTGACCTGTGCTATAAGTACATTTCTGTGTAATGTATTCTGTACCCTTGACTGGAACAGACAGTTGCTTTAGAAGGTTGTGTGGCTTTGGAGGGAATGGCCTGACTTTTCTGTTGCTGGCTGCCTGTCCTCTGCCAACAACCTTTGTTCTCTTGGCCTCTTCTGACCCTGCCTGTGGCATTTGGTTTGGGTTTGTGACAACTACACCTACTCCTTTTCCAGTTACCACAAGGGGTAAAGACTGATGACTTGCTTTTTACCTGACTTGGGGCAGCTGGTGGATTTTGAACCTAATATAAATGAAGATAAGAAACTTAGGGTAAGGTTCATTATTAGAAGGAAAACAGACACAGTTTTAGGGTTCCCCTTCACAAAGGGGAGATGTCAAAGGGAAAAAAGCAGTGGTAAGTTGTGTAGGCTGTGCTGGCCATTTTGCTCATCTTTGACTCTGGAAATATTCTCAGCCACACATCACCACTTAGAAGTTCTTCTTTTCACATAACCGCAGGGCACAATTCAGCCAAGCTTCTGCCCATTAACATTTTCCTCCAGATTCCATTAACATTAACCCTCTGAAACCTCACCAGCAGCATCTTCAGTGTCAGCAGGTTTGTAAACTGTCTGTTCCTAAGGATTTGGTGTTCTCTCAGAGAATACATGCTTTCTTTACTATGGTCTCACTCCCTTCTGAGCCCTTCTAGCAGAGTCTTTAACACTGGATTTCTGTTTAACATTCAACTAAATCTTTTTCTGTCTCTCAGATTTATCTATCCTGTTCCTGCAGCTCAATTCCAAAGCTACTTTCATATTTTTTGGTATTTGTTTATAGCAGTACCCCACTTCAAGTCACACAATTAGTTAGAAAGCTTCATTTTCTGTGGCTGCCATGAGAAATGACTACACATTTAGTGTTTCAACAACACAAGTATATTATCCTTTAGTTCTGTGGTTCAGAGGTGATAAACAGGTATCCTATCAAGGTACCAGAAGGAGGCCTGAGGGGAGAATCTGTTACCTGGCCATTCAAAATTGCGGGCAGAATTAAAATTGTCCTCGGCTGTGCTATCCAAAATGTCTGCAGGGTGGCACTCTATGAAAGCCTCGCTTGTCTCTTGCCCCCCTTGTCTCTTTCTTTGGCCTTTCACTTCTTTGCACTCCAGTGATTTCTTTTCTGCTTTACTCCTTTAACAAACTCTGACTGTAAAGAACTGTTTGGGGCCCTCCCTGGTGGCGCAGCGGGTTAAAGCACAGCACTAAGAAGCTTAAGCCACTTCCGCATGAGTTCGATTCCCGCCTGCCCCGAGGTGACCACATGGTGCCGTAGACCTCTCCTGACCCGCCCGCTGCTCCCCTCAGCAGTGTACTCCGTTGATCTGCCTGTTGTTGCTCTCCACTCTGTCTCTGGTGAAGCCTCTTGCCACCCGTGAGCCTCTGGCCTGTACCCCAGTTCTGTCTGCACAAATAAATAAATCTTTAAAAAAAACAACAACAAAACTGGTTGTGACACTGAGGTTACTCTGCCTCATGCCCTGTTTCACAATGGGGACCCATGGACTTTGGGGTGAAGAACTCACCTGAACGGACTTGATTAGTTATTGGGAAAGTTAGGACTGGCATCCTGACCCCTACATTTCAATATTATACCTGAAGCAGGTTTGTACAGAAGACTGTATAAAGCAGAGGACTGTCCTGTTAAAAGTCAAAACATTGCCTTTAAGTTTGCTTTTATTAAATGTGTCTTGATTTTTTGAAATCATTTTTTTTCTGATAGGAGATTCTTTGCCTTAGGCGCTTATGATTTTATTGGCTTTAAGTTTAATCTTGGTGTCAAGAGTTTAGTGAATTTGAAGACACTTAATGTTAGCATAAAGTTCCTGTGAAGTTTATGTAGCAGCAGGAGGCTGTGTGCTCCCTTGCTTGCCAGATGAGTAATGTTTGCAAGGGAGGTGTAAGAGAGATTTTAGTCATTATTGGTCGTTTGTCCAAAGACTTCACTCATGATTCCTAAGACAAATTTCAGCTTTCCTAAGGCTGTAGAAGTGACCATTTTGGAGTTGTAATTTTATACTTGCTTTATAAGTGTCAATTTCTTTTCAGAATCTATTAGGTGGAAAAGCTAGGATTCCTTTTTATATTCTTAAAGGTGTGACCTGCAAAATGATTGAAGAATTGGGCACTTAGGAAATTATTCACTTCCATTTGCTTCATGAATTTCTCTCTCTCTCTCTTATCCACAAAATGTGAAACTGTTAGGACACACAGTTCTGTGTTGCTGCTTTGAATTCATGTGCCAGGAAGCATGGCTTCTGAGGTTACCTGTGTCCTCTGCAGATGAGTGCATCTCCTTAACCTCATCGTATCTCTTTTCAGCTATCACATTTTGTGTTCATCAGTTCTTTGGGTTTGCCTTTTTAAAAATTCTGCTGGAGGATGCAAGATACAGCCTATTTAATACTATCTGGAAAATAACTTGATAAGAGTGTTTCACACAGCTGGATGGTTAAAAAGAAAGAACAAAGGCACGTTTGCCAATCCTAGTGACCAGAGTTAAAGTTTAATCACAAGCCACGCAGGTCGGGACCTCCTGCTGGGTAGACTGGGTGGCATACCCTGTTCCTGGTGAAGGGCTGTAAGACCTGTAGGCTTGTCATCTCCTGAGCCTCTGCTGATTGCCTTGCTCTGTTTTATTTCTGACAGCTCCTTTAGTGGCAGAGTTTTCCGGATGACTTTCTTGATGTTGGCTGTTTCCCTTGCCGTTCCCCTGCTTGGAGCCATGATGCTGGTGGATTCCCCCATAGACCCACAGCCTCTCAGGTGAGCTGTCCCAGCAATTGGGAGGGACTGCTTGACAAAATATAAGTTGAAGTCATTTCTTGAGTCATTAAAGCAATCTAGTATGGAAGGTAAGTTATGATAAGAACGAGAGGCTTATGATTTCTTTAGTGCTGGTTATATGTTGAAGTAGATGTTACAGAGTGTGTTTATGTTATTGTCCCTGCTGTTGTTTCAAAAACAGTATTGTTGTTTTGAAGAACAACATTGTTCAAAACATAGACAAAAATGAAGAACCCAAATAAGAGAACTATATTAGCAATAACTGAATTCATTACAAATGACAAAAGGTTATAAAAATGAAGGTTAAAAAAAGCCTTGTAATTAGCATTTTGTTTCTCCTAAGTTGTCTTTCTTCAGGAGGATCTATGAGTAACGTAGTCCATTATAAGTTGGAAAAAAAAAAATAGCATACATCTTGGGTTCCCTTGAAGTAGATTCACTTTTGTAGTTATGATAGTACAGAGCCAGACCCTTATTGGTATGATGATTTGATGTCGACATTGTGCTGGTGTAAGTGGGTTGTCACAATGGTTCAGTAAGCTGCTAGGTCTCCTTAAAACTGGCCAGGTGGGTGAAACTGTCTGACATTTATTTTAAGTGAGTTAGTCCTTGTAAGGCTTTAAAAATGTCACATGAGAATCATGTCTGTTTATAATATATATAACTGAATGATGGTGTTTCATGATTAAAATTAAGGGTTTATATTAGATTTAACTCATACATTAAAAAATGTATGCAGGGTTAAATATTCAGTTTGATACAAAGGTAGAAGCCACAGTTTTGAGAGACATAATGTATGCAAGGTATGTGTATACAGTTAGCTCACATTCACGTAAGATTGAGAATGGTGAAGACCCAAGCACTGGAGACTCACATGAGTGTTGGCTCTGTAATTCCTATTGTGTCAGTAGGCCCTTGCATGTGTCTTCTGCCTGACCTGGGGTCAAGAACACTTTGGGTTGTTGGGATGGGGGCTATCTTGCTAATGAACACGAGTAGGATGTGACTCCAAATAGAAACTGATTTGAGCCGTTCTGGTTACTTTATTTGGCAAAGTGGGCATGTGATCTGGGTCTACAGCTGGGAATCCAAAACCTGGACTGAGGCTTTGGAAAGGCGGAGGACGGCAGAGGGAGCAGGTGGAGGTGGAGTTCCTGTGTTGTACAGGGAGAAATAGGGCTTCAGTGACTGCAAACCTTTGATCTCAGTGAAAGTGATTCTATGTGTGGAAAGAGTGAAGAAATTCAGAAAAAAGATCAGTATGTACTTCTGACTAGAAACTGAAAGGAAACAGGACCCGAGAGGGGCTTGAAGTTTTGCAGTGAATTCGGTCTGTGGAGTAGATGAGTCTGATGAGGAAAGAAGAAAGGAGAGACCCAATGAAACCAGCATGGTAGACAGGGCTCTCTCCTGGTTTCAGATTTAGGGAATGACATGGTCAAATTGAAAGGGTGGGTCTTAAATGCAGAACAAAAACAAGACTGGCAGAGAGTTAAAGAACAGAAATGAACTAAGGTTTGGGAAACATGCTAATGACAACAACAAAAAGCCTTTTCTAAAACTCTGTTCAGAACAAAAAGAGCAAAGAGCAACTTTCTGGGCAAGTTGTGCTGTATTGGCAGTGACAGAAAAGCAGAGCCACTAGCTTCTGCACCACCTCAGACACATCTGAGTTAGGAGCAAGGGGCAAGGAGCGTGGTGTAGGGGACCAGGGCAGCCAACAGGGCAGGAGCTCAGATGATGGAAGTGCTTTGGGGAGTCTGCCTCCAGGGTGCTTAGCCACCTCCTTGAGAGTTAGAACTCATTTCTAAGTCCCCAGGAAATCACAGTGAGGACAGAATGTGGCAGGAGGAAGAGAGGGGTAGAAACCCTTCCAGATTGCATTATTATGTAATTGGTTTCAGTTCTTAGCGTATAAAGGCACCTAGAAAGCTATAGGGTTTGGCCAAAAATCTGCCATGTGAAGAGACCATGTATTCCTCGTTTAGGGGGTTAGAGGACTCTCAGAAACATAACATAGGTGACATCTACTTTCCAGGGGATGTTGGCCAGAGGATACATTTGACATGTATGGAGAGAGCTGTGAGCAGAAAGGCAGCACTGTTAAGTGGGGTCCAATATGGTTGGCCTGGGCACAGCAAAGCAGGTATTGGGCAGTGGTTCTCAGCTGCAGAGGGCCTTCTGCATTTGGTATCAGAGGTCCACATTGCCGATGACTTTTCCTAATAATTTCTGAGATCTGCCCCCCAGGAGTTCTGGTCTCTCCCTCCACTGGGAGTTCAGAGTGTGTGGGACACTGTTTTTTCTTCTCTACAAGTGTCCATGGATCTTACCAGAGTTTTAATTTGTGTGCATCTATTTACTTTTTATACCATAGAGCATATTGCTGTTTTATTTTTATTATTTTTAACTTTCAAATTTTTAGCCTGGTAGTAAAATGAATACTTTTGATAGTACTGTCATAACTTTTAGCTGCTAGAAGAATAGCTATTCTATGAGCCTTAAAGTCATTGTAACAAAATCTTTCCAAAACATGACTATATTTCCTTTTAAATTTTACATTAGCTGATAAATAAATGACTAGAAACATTCCTATCTTTTTGTGAAAAATAATCTTTTTATACCTTTCTGGATGGAAATCAAGTCCTTATACAGGGTGGTTGTGGGATGTGGACTGAAACTACTGCTAGTGAGTCAGTGTGCGCCACAAGACTGTGTCCTGGCCACAGACATTGTGCCAGACACACTCATCAGATTTATAGCTGACAAGATCAACAGGGACATTCCGAAATTTAAACTCAGAAGGAAGATTAATGAGTGATCCTGATGAGGTCGAAACATGAGGAAAAATAGGGTAAAATTGGAAACTAACCCTAAATGGCACAGCTCAAGCTGGCAGGTACTAACAGGGCTTAGCTAATAGAGTCAGTTTTTACCAAAGAGTCCGAAGGCCTGACTGGCTGTGCAACACAGATTTTGGTTGCACATCCTTTGCATTTTCTCATATATGCTTTCTTGTGGGCAGGGACATTGTACCAAATCAGTATTTAGTTTTATTCTAAACTTTGCTGAGGCCTCCTATGTGTAGAGAACTAGGAGGGGTGGCTGATGATAGGGGTGCTTCCTATATCACCGGGAGGAATGCATTTACCTGTTTTGCTCAGCCTGTACACATACTTTGGGAGGTGGGATGTTCCCACAACTAGAATTTGAACCCAGGTATGTCGCTATATTCTTTTCACCAAAGCATGCAGGTTGCAGTTTCATTCTCTTCCTCTGGAATGATCATGCTTTAATTAACCCAAGGTTTGTTGTTGTTGTTGTTTTAAAGCCAAAACTGGAAAACAGGGCACAGAATGAAGATGAGGGATATGGATGGCATTGTGTCCTGAGCAGCTGCTGCCTGAGAAAGAACTGCAAGGAGAAAAGTGCTTGGTCAGATTGGGGGATGGCAGGAGAGAGAGGTTTTCCTTTGAAAAACTGGGGTATAGGCCAGAAGTGTGTGTGTGTGTGTGGGGCGGGGGTGGTGGGAAGGGTGGTGTTTGGGGGGAAGAGAGGATTCACCGGAAACAGTGGGGAGCAGAACGGGCAGATCTACTGAAATAACACTGCTGAAGGGAGCAACAGGTGAGACAGGAGTGATCTGCTGTGCCATGTGGGTCACCTCCCTGGCCGGGGATTGAACTCAGGTAGTGTTGATGACAGTGCTGAAACTTAATTCCTCGGCCACCAGACACAGCCCATGTGTCCTTAACCAACAACTCTCCCTGTAGTTCTATTCTCTAGGGCTGTCTAAGAAACAACCTTGCTAGAAGGCAAGGTACGGAGGGAATTGGGAGATATCCTCCTCCTTGCTTCTGTTCTTCATCAGGAACCTCCTTTGTGCTAGATACCTGGGATATAGCAGCAGAAACCATTGAAATACATCCCTGATCTCATGGATCATGTGTTCTAGTGGACATAGGCAGTAAACACTACAGAGAAATGGAAACCTATCAGTGCTCTAGGAAAGAGAGTGGACTAGGGAGTTGGGCATTTGAGGGTGCCGTTAAATATTAAGGTGGGTGGTCAAAAGAGGCCTCACTGAGCAGGTAGGAAAAGTGGACTTTCCATGGAAAATGGCTTACATGGTCATTACTGACAGGATGTGGAGGACAGTGTGAACTGGGGAGAGGAAGTGATAGGGACAGGACAGACTATGGACAGCTAAAAACCACAGAGGCACTTTGACTCTGGCAGGACTTTGAGTAGACGGCTGCTGTGTTGTGACTTTATAGCCAAAGATTCATATGGGTTGTTGTGACAGCGAGGAAGGAGGGTAGAAAAGATGACCTGGGCCAATGTGGGAGGAGAGAACATGGGGAGAAGGTGGTCAGAGATGTTTGTATTTTGGAGGTGGCATTATCAGGATTTGCTGAGGAACTGGGGGAAGAATCTTGTGTACATAGGAGCCATGTCTGCGGCACAGGAATTCAGGCCTCATGGCTGCTGATCTCAGAAAGAAGGTTGGGTGGGCCTTGAGAGTGATAATGGGATACAGAATGCATCAGGGCTACCATGGGATGGTAGTGCCTGTCCTTGGACAGGCTTTTCTCTTTCTTTCTGCCCTCTCTACAAAGAATGAAACATTGCTGTTGGTTATGACATGTTGACAGGGCATCCTTCCATCACAGCTTTAGGGTCCAGCAGCTGGGAAAATGGAAGTTAGGGCTTGTGAATCTGAGTGAAGCAGTCTGATCTGCCGCAAGGCTTTGGGCAGCTGTTGAGGTTTGGGTGGACAGAGGCCCCAGGATAGTTAGCTGGTTACCAAAGTTCTTGCAGGTGGAAAAAGCAATAGCCATATTTATATTTTTATTTCGTATTATGACTTTTCCTGATAGCTAGACAATTTTTTCCTAAGTTTTTGTGTTTCTGGCAACTAAGAATGTCATTGGAATATGCCGCCTTTGTCAAAGAATGGGGAGTTATGCATTTTGTAGGTCCTTAGTAAACACTTCCTTGTACTTTCATAGACAAATTCCTGTAATTGCATTATCTTACAGCTTCAAAGAACCCCCTCTCTTGCTTGGTGTTCTGCAACCAAATACGAAGTTACGACAGGCGAAAAGGCTATTTGAAAATCAACTTATTGGCCCAGAGTCCATAGCAAATATTGGGGGTAAGTAAACCCCTGGAACTGCAGAGTCTGACTGGGGTCCCTTTGAGACTGACTTGTTGAAGCAGCACAGTGGCACTCTCCTCCTGGGGGTGGGACCTCTTTCTTAGCTATGGACCTCTGTGCTTTTGGAGCAGACATCTCTGTGGAAGTGTCTTGGGTTTCTGCATGGTCAGCCATGTTAATATTGGTAATTTCAAATTCATCTGTATGATGCGTTTTATTCTCTTGAAAGTATTGGTCCCATTAAAATGAAGGAAAAAGGAAATGCGGACATTGATGCTTAGTTCATTTATCAAAGTTAGTTAGTATTACTTGACATGACATTGTTTATTAGTGCCGTTTGTCATTGTATAGATTTCACTTTTGATGTCAGTTTTGAAAAGAATATGAATAACTCTCACTTGCAATTTTCTTTTAAAACTCACTTTGGTGACTAAATTTAAGAGAACCTTTGCTTCAGTTTAGGCCAAACCTAAGAGCGAGAATATAGTTTCGAGATGAGTCCCTACCCTCATGCAACCAGGCATTTTCTGTCTGGTAGAATAAAAATGTAAGCTCAGTGGTCAAAAGATTCCTGAGAACAGTTAATGTTAGGGTTCCTGAAAATGGTGTAAGAATATTTGAACACCTTAACTTGGCATGCTGCTTACCATTCCAAAGTGCAGTATTTTCCCCCTGAAATGGGTATGGACACATGTGTCTGGGGAGATTCTTTCTTGATGGGAAGGCAGGTCAGAGCTGCTTCTCTGTGGTGTTGACCGGCTTCTCTCTCAGTCCCTGCTTTCTGACTGATACAAAGATTGGTGCATTTCTGTAATTGTTTATTTTGCTAGAAAAGTCACTTGTTTTGAGAGGGGTAGCTAGTTCCCTCTTCTGAATAGGACCTCATATTTCTTTTTCTTTCTTTTTTTTTTTTT